TGTGTTGTACGCCCCCCCCCCCCCCCCCCGTATTGTTGGGCTTAAATAAAAAAATCTAATTAGTCTCAATGTCTAAAACATAGCCTAAAATTACACTATTCCTTCTGTTCTGTTGCATACTGTCTAGCTTCAACAATATGTGAACTACACTACCATTCAAATGGGTTTGGTCTCATGCTCACAAAGGATGCATTTATGTGATTAAAAACAGTAATATTGTGAATTTTCTATAGTTTGATATGTTTAAAGGGATGGTTCACTGGTCTTTTTCTAGGCTTGATTGTGTTTATAGGGTGCAGTCTAACATGTGTTAATGCTTCGTTTAAAAAAAAAAAAAAAACGTAAAAAAAAAAAAAAAAAAACGCATTATTTTTCACATAATTTACCTTTATTCCACACCGCTCTGTCCCTTCTTTGAGAAATGCGCTGTTCATTTCCTGCTTTTATGAAGCCCCGCCCTCAGAAATAGGTGATGGGCTCTGATTGGTTAGCTGGCACAGTGTGTTGTGATTGGCTAAACCGCCTCTAGTGCGCCCCTCACCTCCCGTTCCTTCCCGCCCCTCACCTCAGCGACATGTGCTCCGGTTGTATTGTAAACAACGGCGTCTTTAATATCGCTTATCAGTTTGAGCCCGATTGAGATGCAGAGGATATTGGTGAAGAGGATCGTGCAAAACCTGTGCAAGCACGGCTTTTAATGGTAGGCCTATGTTTTTTGTTTGTTGTTGTCTCGTACTTTTAGATATGCTGTTATTCGTAAATGCTACTGCTTATGTTAGCTTTTAATATACGGTTTATTTTATTTATTTATTTAGTATTATTTATTTAGCAGATGCTTTTATACTAAGCGACTTACAAATGAGGACAACAGAAGCAATCAATTGTAGTATTAAAACAACTAAAAACAGATCCAAAAACGGTTATATCCAGGGATTGAAATGAACTTTTTCACTCACCAACCAATTTGGCTACTAAATTTTTAAGATACCGGCCATTCATAACTTCTACTAGCCAAAAAAAAAAAGACAGAAATAAACTAACAGTTTGAGGCCGTCTACACTGGGCGTGACAAAGCGACCGTTGCAAATCATTTTGTCAGTACTAGGGGTGTGCGATATTGACAAAAAATAATATCTCAATATTTTCTG